AGTAGGGATAAATATTAAAACTTGATTCGTTTGGTTTAATTTTTTAGTTAAATTTTATAATAATCTGAAATACCATTAATCCTCCCTAGGGCATTAGGCAATTATTTCTGTGTAACTATCAGAGATCGATTTAACTAATAGTCAAGTAGTCGATTGACTTTTGTGGCCTGCCCGACCTAAATATTTATATATCTCTTGATTCCGTGTGAACGCCGTAGAATTAAAGTAAAGTACCTGATATATTTCCGCGTTTGAAACCAAAATAAGCTAACCGTAAATGTATACTAAACCAAAAAAAAATATAGATCAACGGTTAGGTACTATTATAAAATTGAACCTTTGAAATAAACCACTTTTAATTATATCTAACTTTATTTTAACTGAATTAAATCATGAGGTGTTTTATTCAAATGTGTACTATTATCGTGCAGTTCAGACAATACATAATTTGCCTCTATTTTTATGTACATGTAAATTTGAGCAATAAACTGAATTTATGTTGGCGTAATCAAAACGTTAGCAGCAAAATGTGGCCGACTGTACGGCGCCGAAGCTTTCAACCCCCTTTAGCCATGACACCGTCTTACCCTTGGAGGTGACGTAAGCAAGGTTTAGCTCGATTTAATGTATATGATACTTAATTCTAAATGATCAGGCTATTGACGTAAATGGTCAAGAACTTCGTGTGTCTAATACCGAGGGTTTCGTTCATTTGAAAACATACATTTTATTATTTAAAAATTAAAACAATATACGAGCAGGCTGACTTGAAGCGGCTTGCAGAGCGTTCAGTGCTGTTGCTCTAACCAGTTAAGTTTTTCTATTTATAATCGATTTTAAATTTTTATAGTGCAGTAACATGTGAAAATATTAAAGTTTTCAAACATACATTGTAATTGTTTTTCGTTAGATATCTTGAAAAAATTGCTTTATCTTAATTAATTGCTTAATCTCAAGAAGAATTTTTTTCTAGGTAAGTAGTAAATATCGGCTTACAAGCGTTAAATATTTATAAATTAAAGGTTAACGCTATAGCTTAACGAATGATTTTAATTAGTAAATCATTAACATTTCATAAAAAAACCATGCCTCGTAATACCTAAATGTGTTGATTAATATGCCAACAGCACGGGACGCTGACGATGCCGGTTCAAGTCTTGCCCGAGTTAAAATTTTCTTCAATTTATCTTCGATTTTTAAATTATATAGTGCCTTAATGTGCAATAACATGTAAAAAATAATAAAGTTTTCAAATACTAGAGGACTATCGTCCAATGGTACGGAACTTTTCGAGCAACAGTTCGTCTTGCACTTTAACGGTTAAAACCCGATATATGTATATTCGGTAGCCAAATACCAACTACGACGGAACAGATGGCGCTAGCGTTGCAGTTTTTACTTTGACATTAGAGACGCCGCTTAGTCTCCCCATGACATGACTGCTGCAAAGGCTGTAGCTGAAATAAGTTTAACTAATATACTATATCGCGTTTTAAACCGTTATAGTATTTAATTCAATGCTTAATATTATTTTTATAAAATCAATGATTTTTAATCTATGCATGAAATTATATAAGGGGTAGCTCTGAATAGCAGTTAGCAGTCAGCAACATTAATAGGATTGAGGTGAAACAAAGGTGAAATTCAATTATTCCAGAACAATAAAGCTTAGAATATAATTCTCAATGTTACGAACAATTTCAGTATTTTATTGCGAATTTCTCTCTTTAATAACAATATCACCTAGGGCTACGTTGCGTTTCGTGATTTTCGTAAATCCTTTGAGATATGAGATAATCAGAGAAAATTGTTCTTCATGATACATTTTCCTTTTCAACTATGCATGAGGTGTTATTGTTTTTTATGACAAAGTAGTACTTAGTTTGTATTCGCTTTTGTTTGCATATTCTTTGTTTAGTATCTTCTATAGCCTTGAAAGATTAGTAGATTGAACCAATTTATCATCAGTAGTATTATTAAATGATAAACTTTTAACGATTACAAGCCCTAAATATATATAACAAAAGGAATTGATTTAAATACGACACTTTAACGGTTTAAAACGCGATACATATTCGTTAAACTTATTAGAGAATTTATAAACTCGGACTCGATGTTTCAAATAAGTATAACTAATAAATATCGCATTTTGAACAGTTAAAGTGTTTTATTTAAATTTGTACTACTCGCGTAAACTACAGATAGTTTTTAAGTTAATTGAATTAAGCTAAGAACTCAACTGCTTGTCATTTTTAATACACCACTTGAAAAACTTTGAACGTTACAAAAACATTTACTTTAATTTATTATTGAGAAACATTAAAAATATTACCTCTTAATATTATTTTCGTTTCGGCTCTTAAAATGATTTTTATTTTCCTTATCTACCTCGATATTAAAAAATAATACCCTCTTTCAAAGGACATCAAAAATACGTGAATTAAACAAGTGTAAATATTCCCAAGAGAGCTTGGGCGGGCGGCGTTGTTGCCCCACGTTAAATTAAGTTAACAAACTTAATTACGTCACAAACATTCGTTAATAACTTTGGATAGACGTTATAAACTCGTAGACGTTTGAAGTGTGAGTTCAGATATCTAATTTAGGTAGAAGTTCTGCTTTCCACATGTAGGTGTGTGGCTTGCGTTGTTTTGTAGAGGTGGAGATACAAGCATGGGATTCAATTGATGGTAGGTGAAATAATGTGCTATCGACCTATTATGGTTTTGGATTTTCGGAAATCCACAGACTGAAATCGATTCGAGATTTCATTAACGGTTTTTGTCGTCTGTGGACGGTGGTTCGTAACCTGGACGAGTTTTTGATATTCCTCCCACACATCTTAAAAAATTGTTTGGATCGAACCCGCGACCCGGTTATTATTAGCTACCAGTGCACCAACGAGCCCATCGAAATTAATTTTGAGGCAATTATCAGATTATTCTTGTGTCTGAAATATTATATAGATTTAAATTTAAATATATAAAATTTTACGCAATACTAAGACTGCGGTCTGGCACATAGGTTTTCTCATCTATACGAGGGGTCTATACCCCGACGTTGCCGTTAAGTGAATTAATAAATATAATGCCATCATGTAAACAATATTAAAGTATAAAAAAATATAAATACTTACCTAAAAATTGACAATTTCCTTGTTTCTACTGTCACTTCATAAAAAAAAACCGTTTTACAGACTCTCTGTCTTGAGTGCTACGTAAATACTAGCTAGTAGTAGTATTGCTAAAATCTAGTGCATACATCAATCACAAATAGAAAAAATATTTCGGTATCAGTGGATGATGGATCTCTTGAACATAACATTTGTTGAAGAATTACAAAAATTGAGTTACTGTAAAAATGTTGTAAACTGTGGACGAACGTAGATAAGGTTGTCATACAGAGCATATGATGAAGCTCTCCAACAGAATTGGTTTTCAATTTGTTCGTAATAGTTGGCGTTATGGTAAATTTTACTATTTCATATAATCAATATAAATTGTCTTTTTTCACGCTATAAAAAAATGCAACCCTCTTAACTATTGGTTTACAGATAATTGTCATACAAGCAATGTCATAGCTTACGGCTTTAATCTCGTCTAATATTTGTTAAATAACAATTAATGCAAGAAAAAATATATCTTATTATATATTCATTTTTATCGTTCCTAGTTTGTACTAGAGCATTTACAAAATGCAAGTGCGTCTCAAATGGTCTTAAAAAGTGATAACTCAATTCTAATTTGAATTATTTAATATTAAAGTCCTATATAATGTCTATACAGGGCCTTATCCTACTAATATTATAAACGTGAAAGTATGTGTGTGTGGATGGATGTTTGTTACGCTTTCACGCAAAAACTACTGAATGGATTTCAATTAAACTTTCCAATAATATAGCTTTTACATTAGAATAATACATAGGATACAATTTATAAAGATATTGTGTGAGCTGTCTAAAATATAGCATTAAGTGTCAAGTAAGTAGGAAAAAAGCTATTCTGGCGTGCGCTGCCATAAACGTTAGTTACACATAATTATGTAAAGTATGATATGATAGACATCATTTAGTTTAAATGCGCGATACTACGTAATCGTAATCCTAATCCTGCGTAGTCGCGGGCACTAGCTAGTCCTATATAATGGCACCATAACGCGTTACATAACGAAGGCGTCTATCCGTCCGCGAGGAGTTGTTACTTCGTGAATGATACCTCCTACTCGATACGTTACGGTATATGTTTAAATACATTATTTATTATTGTTTAAAAATACTACCGTAAAACTTAAATGAAACACTTTTAATCGATTAGTTAACTTATTTATAATTTATTTAACTACAATTTGACGTTTCGCAATATATGCTTTGCAATAGTCCTGGTCCTACCTTTAAACCGTTAAAAGTGTTTTATTTAAATGTGTACTACCCGTGTAAACTACAGACAATACTTAACACAATACACTGTAAGTTATAACAGAGATATAGCACAAGAATATTGCTTATATAGCATATATCTATAGACAGAAAATATATATAGATCTGAAAATACAAGTACAGCATTTATACTCATACACGAGTACATTTAACAGATTAAGCGATAACTTTGATCCACTGAAAGCTCGCGTTAACCTCTGTACGCTGCTTACTCTGTGGTTGGAGCGACCTACTTCGCTCCCGTTCAATCGCTGCCCGCCCAGAATAGACGTTACACGTGCGTCCGTGAATAACGCCGCCCGCGGCTCAGCGCTTACAAGCCGCGGGCCAGACCGCTCGCACGAGGCCAAACATATTCAAAGTGATTCCTTGTGACCCTGCCTTTACCATCCCTTTATAATCTTATATCCCAGTTAAATAGTATATTTACACGTAGTTGTGACCTTGCACGTTATCTACCGGAAAGCTTTCAGTTAGCAAATTGTACTTGTTAAGAGTTTCAAATTCTATTTTCGAATGTTATCTACAATGTGCCTTAGTGTTAGTGAGTGAGTCAGACGCAACGATGCAACGTAAATACCTGTTATTTATTACGATATTTCTACTGTTCGAGCCGGTCCCCGCTTGGAGATCTGATACGTATGTAATACTTGATGTTCATGTTGATAAGATAGCTACTGAGATATTAAAAAGTATACCTACATATGACAAACAGAAGTGCTGTTTGTTATGCGCCGGCTACAAAAGTCTTAGCATATTTTATAACACCTCTACGCTTTAGTTGTACCTGTGTTTAGGTTTTTTTTTTAAACTTTGTGAATAGATTTTGAAGTGCTGTCTTTTATTTTAAAATTAAAATAAAGAAATTCAAAATAAAACAATTCAACGGTTTAAAACGTGAAATATATTCCTTAAACTTGTTTAAAAAATATTTTAACTACGGCCTGGCATTTGGTTTTAAGCCGTTAAAATACAGACAGTGTTTAAACAATAAAATATTATAAAAAGTAAAAATAAATCTATTATTCATTTTCTATATATCAAATAACCAATCTTTTACAAGGTCAGTAGAGAAAAGGGACGCTCTTTGTTGTAGGGTAACTATATAGACGTGACTCGTCCGGGTGTTAAACTCACGACCCTTGTAAGAAGTATTTTTACGCCAGCATAGATCAATCTAGACTACATTTATCGGTTATTTTTAACCTTTTTCTATCTTAGTATCCGTAAGATTAAGATAAAATTGTGCGTTTTAGGCTAATGTTACACAAATTAAACAGTTAAGAAATGAACAAAAGGCTATTTTCTTTTCAGTGTGAAAGAATGGGCGCGAACATTAGGGGACGAATTGTGGAGGCTCAGCGAGTCGCTAACCAAATCCGATCAAATCAGGATTGTAAGTTGCCAAAGTGCTCCGCTCAATTTAACGTTATTGAATAAGATTTTGGAGATAAGGCGCTCTAGTTTTGTTGAACAAGGAGAATTGATTGTTATTCTAACGTTTTGTGTAAAGATTAGTAGGGCCGTTTTGCTTCACGGACCTTTTTAACTGTTTTGTGAATGCCTGATGCACGCCCACGTCGGGTAATGGTGACGCGGGGAGTGTGGTACATCGTACTACAACCTCCTCGGAGACAATAGCGCGACTGTGCTTTGAGGGAGCCCTGGGTTTCTTTACGGACCTAAGTGGACTGTGTAATAGCATATATCTGGTATGGTTCAGGTAGAAGTAGAGGGTTGGTTTGTACGAATTATAACACTCCTCGTGTCTGTACAAACACCTTTCCGGGTGAGCGTGCTTCATACACGCCGTTTAAAAATTTAAAGGCAAAAAGTCCCGTAGTAATGTAGTCCACTTTTGAGGGAGTTGTTCGTATCTACATTTGTTCGTGAAAATTTTAGAACTTGTGAATTTAATGAAATGTGTTTTTCGTCGACTATATTAACACGATTCTATTAAAAAAATCATTTTTAATTAAATTAATAACAAATATCCATATATACATAACCTTACAGCTATGTGTATAAAATTATGTTTAGTTTTCTATTAATTAACAGATGATGACAACTCTTTTCCAAGAAAGACATAATTTATGTATATATAAACAAAGTTCCGTGTCCACGTTTTAGAAGCTTAATGCTTGAAAAAAATCTTTCGGACCAAAAATATAAAATAATAATACAAAGATAAAGGTTCTTTTATAAAATAAATAATAATAATGATAACGCGTTCAGAAAGGCTATTATAAGTAATTGAAAATCCCTGTCGTGACTCTCTAACGTGGGTCAGTTGTCAAATTAAAACTTATTTTCAGAAATACAAACAAATGAACGCGAGCGTCAAGAAAAAAGATGGAGGACAAATATTGGAATCCTCGTTGCGGTCAGTGAGCACAATGTTGACGAGAAAAATTAACGCAGTAAAGGTAATTAATAATACGTGACTTATTGTCCTGTCTTGTCCTGTCATTGAGACCTAGGTAGCTTTGGTAATGCGACTTCTCCTCATAAAAATCCTGTTTCCGAAGTTTCTATTGTTAAGCGTCGCGTTTTGTTTGTTCGCAACTGCTGTTGACAAATGCATGTTATGTATGAATTAAATATATACTCGTATGTATCCAATAAGTTGAATTTTTTGGACGGCCAAGGTATTGAAAACGGAATGCCTACCACTAGATGGTTTTGATTAATTGTAATAAGAGTTGTAAATAATTATAAACTAAATAAAAAAGTTATGTTCGTAAAAAAAATCAATTAATTTACTTTAAAATAAAGTTTCTTTCGAAAGCATTCTCAATCTAATAGAATCTCAATCTAAACTTATTTTACCTTTGTTTTAATTAACTAATGGACTATTAAATACAAATTAGTGTTTTGTAAAAAAAAAATACCTACAAATTTATTACTGGAGTTTAAAAACGCAAAATTTAAGCCTTTCATAGTAAGACAAGGACTTTGAATACCTAACATTTCAGTGCATTCACGCGACGGCGGAGCGCCTGGCGTCCGAATTCAATTTCACAGAAGCAATAAGCGAGAACTTCAGTTATTGTTCAGCCAAATATTCCAATTTCTTCTTCGAAGATGGCACCGAGCTCGAGAGGACAGAGGACATTCCGAAATTCGCCACAGACAACCCGCACTATATTAACGTTTCGTTAGAACAAGATTCTCATTTCTATGACATCAGTATTAATACAAATATGAGCTGCGTACATGTTCCCACAAACATTTATTATAAAGGTTGGTAAAGCGAAGTGCTATTACTTGTAGACTATTGTAATTCAGCCCGTATTGTGCAGTGTATGTGAGTAGAAATGAGTAAATAAAACACTTTAAACTGTTTAAAGATCGAAGTCAATAACTAAAAAAGCATTATTATTTAACTATAATCATAATATTAAATATAAATAGATAAATAATAAACCATAAATTTAGTGTTTAAAGCCGTTAAAAGTGTTTTATTTAAGGTAATAGGCAAAAACTCGTTGGAAAACGCCTATTCAACAAAATCTAAAAAAAGTTTTAAGAGAAAACAATAAAATTTTAAAAATATATTTAGATTAACAATAAATTGAAAAGTTCGACGATGACGTGTAGGACACGGTAGCTCCATCGGTTCAAGCCCCGACCGGTTCTAAAAAGATTTCCAATCTAAATAGATTTTTAATTTATTATATTATTAAAACATCGCAGGTCGAATGTTTGTTTTCTCTGTTGATCACCACTGAACTGCTTGTTTTAGAGGAAGACGCGTTAACAGCGATCCTTTGGTCGAAAGGCCTCAACGAGATCTTCATAAAGAACTACAATTCTGATCCGTCCCTGGTCTGGCAGTACTTCGGCAGTTCCCACGGCGTCCTGCGCTTTTATCCCGGAATGCCATGGAATATGAAAGAAGCTGACACCTACGACTGCAGAGTGAAATCCTGGTACATAGAAGCCGCTACCTGCTCCAAGGACGTGATCATCCTCTTCGATGTCTCTGGATCGATGACTGGATTCAAGAACTACGTGGCAAGGAGGACTTTAGAGTCACTTTTAGCCACTTTGTCTAACAACGATTATGTAAATGTTTACACGTTTAAGGCGAATACTTCAGAAGTCGTGTCGTGTTTTGTCGGCTTAGTCCAGGCCACCTTGGAGAATTTGTCGACAATAAGTAACACTCTCGAGCCGACGGATGGCGGGAAAAAACACAAAGTACCCCTCGAAGGGAACGCTAATTTAACTGAAGCCTACAAAAAAGCTTTCACGACGCTAAAAGAGGTATCTTTTAATATTCTGTTTCAGGTTTTTCAGCGATGCTTTTAAGAGAATGCTTCAGTCTTCGTAATGTTTAAATAAAAACTTTTAGAACTACCAGTTTTAAAGCAGTTAATTAATAATCGTAGATTCACATTTAACGCTTTAAAACGCATTCGCGTATTAAGTAACTTAATTGCTATATATTTTAATTACGGTTCGACGTTTCGTATGCTTTGCAGTAGCCCTGGTCACGGGGAGACTCGGTGTCGTAACGTTTTTATCTTGATTTTGAAGTAAACAATGCACACTTATTGCAATTAAATTTGCTTTTATTAGAGATTGACTTTTATTATATATAATCTACTTTTTTAACGAATACAATACCAAAAAGTATGACGGCTTTATCATCGTTCAGCTACCTCAACCAAGCAACTTTGTAGTCTATATGAATTGTTACTTTAAAGTATAGTTTGTAAAATATTGTATAGCTAATTTAAATAAAAATAATATATATACTTATGATTAATATACGTCTAAACCATAATTTAAACTACTCAATAGCAATTACATTTACGTATTATTTGATGTAAAGATAATCTTGGCTAGAGTATATCTAATTAACAATCCACTTTTATGGCTACTACAATAATTATAACAGGAGTATGTTTCTTTGCCAATAATATATACATAGAAAAGTATATATCTATATTTACTAATATATAAAGCTGAGGAGTTTGTTTGTTTGTCTGTTTGAACGCGCTAATCTCAGGAACTACGGGTTGGAAAAAATAATATTGTAAAGCTGAAGAGTTTGTTTTGATTGATTTGATATATGTCTTTTAGTCATATAATATAAATCTTTTAGAGACGTCATCATTGCAACGTTACCAGTTCCCAGGGTTGCAATCAACTGGTGATGGTGATCACAGATTATGTCCCGGGAAACTTGACGGAGGTTTTTGAGGAGTACAATCGTGAAGTAGTGGACGGACGGACGTATATACCAGTTCGAGTGTTCACTTATCTCATTGGAAAGGAGGTGACAAATGTGAGGGAGATACAGTGGATGGCTTGCTTAAATAGAGGTATGTAATACAGAATACTGCTGTTGTTTCATCAAAACTACATTAATGCAGCGGTCGGCAAGCGGGACACTTAAATAAACCACTTTAACGGTTAAAAACGCGATATCCTCCGCGAAGTCTCCCCGTGACCACGGCTGCTGCAAAGCATGCGAAACGTCGGGCCGAAGTGAATAATTATTTTCAAATAAGTTTAACTAATATATCGCGTTTTAAATCGTTAAAGTGTTTTATTTAAATGTGTACTACTCGCGTAAACTATAGACAGTATTTAAGCGAGACACTGATACGTAAGTCCTTCAATGCCTTGTTGCCACCAAGCTTTGTATAGTACATTTCTCAAATAATGCGCGGAAATTAAAATTCAGTACAATTCAGAACTTTAAAACGAATGACGAAGTTTAACGAACAACTAACGATAGTTTCTATGCGCGCCAAAGTATTTTTCTCTAATAAAACAACTTTTTATGTGCAAGCCAGTTCGAAATTTAAATGAAACCTTTTATGAGTTAACTCTTTGGTCGCCACGTTGCAGAGTAGATGACCGTTCCTTGTTTAAATAATACAGATAATGATATATGGACTTTTATAAAACTAGTAACCTTTATAGCAAGTCCAATTTATGTCGAAAAACAGGTTGACAGATTAATGCTTAAATTCAGCACGTTTAAAAAAAACTGCATAGACTACTCGATAGTAAATAAGACGCGCATATAAATTCCTAATTGTTCGTACGGATAATGAGGATTTGCTTCACATCGTTATGCCGCTTCAAGTCAGCTACGTTTAAGAAAAATAATTATTACTATTAGATACTCGAACTTTAAAAGTACATTTGAGGTTAAAGCGTATACTATGCGTAGATATTTATGTTCAAATTGGAGTTATTAAAGGTTAAAATTATATGACATGGACGGGATTTACAACTATGATCACACAACGTTTAGTGCTGTTGCGTTTTAAACCGTTAATTATCATTTTTTTAATTAACCAAATACCGAACTGATAATTGAATGAAGGCGAGACAATTATTACAATTTATCGCTTTTGATCAAAGTCGCTATTTCATTTGTATTAAATGTACGAAATACAATTTTATAAGCTTCGTTTAAAAAAATATTCCAGTCTTTTCCCAATGTTTTTATTCGCTTTCGTATAGTAACAATGGATGAAACGTAAATACACGATGAGAAAATGCTTCTAAATTACCTGATCAAATTCACGTAGGTACCTACTATAAGAAAAAATAATATTTACACAACTGGGCCTGATGATCTGCACACATGTGAACAATTGCATTTCTGTAGTTTACGCGATCAGTACACATTTAAATAAAACACTTTTAACGGTTTAAAACTCGAAATGTATTGTATAAGTTATTTACAATTTATCTTAATTAGGGCCCGACGTTTCGGATGACGGAGCAGGCGTGGTCACGACTGCAAGCAAAACTGTAAATAACTAATACATTTCGCGTTTTAATCCATTAAAGGTGTTTTATTTAGAAATGTACATAAAAAATACTAACTTCATTAAACAGGGGTTGGCAACCTTTTATTAAACACGTCTAAGTATACTCATATAATTCAATTCAGAACGAACAAATATAAACGGATTTATTGTATACACATTCTAATAGGGTCTTATTATAACCGAGCAGTTTGTTAACATAAATAATTTCTTGCTTGAAGAATCTTTTCATCTGAAAATGATAAAATAGGGTTTGCTCCGTCTGCTTCGTCGTTCGTTGGTTTAAGATTATTTAAGTGTATCTATTAAAATTCAATTAAGTTAATGTTATTTTAGTTTCAAATATGTAAAAATTGTCTTTAATTTATGCGAGTAGTTTACACAGTACACTTCATATTGCTCGGTTTTGTTCAAAATTTAAATGAATGCATAAAAAAATACATATTCACAAATAAAACACTTTAACGGTTTAGAACGTGATATATATTAGTTAAAGTGTTCCAAAACGTCGGGCCGTAGTTAAAATAATTTCCGGATAAATTTAACTAATATATATCGCTCAAAACCGAGCGAAGTTTTTTTTATAATAGTGTCTTGACAAAAAATAATAGACACAAAAATGTATTTAAAATTTTCAACTGAAATATTAGGGTGAATTTTGATTTTGTTTGAATTTAGTCCCTGTGTAGTATATCTTTTTTGCTTATTACTATTGTGATTTATTCTTAGGATTCTTCGTCCACATCCACTCCGTTGAGGAGGTACAGCAGCAAGTCTTAAAATACATCAACGTGATAGCTAGACCTATGATCCTGGCAGGAGAGGAACCTCCCCCCACTTGGACACATGCTAATATCGACTATACGGTAAGTACATCCTTGTAATGAGACTAATTTTCTTACACCTGAGTCATAACACTATAGTCGCTTCTATACATTTGGTTTTAAACCCGAAATAAACGGTTTAATATTAATTAAAATCTATTTAGATTGAGAAGCTATTTAACGCTACTGCCTACATCACGTGACCTACCGTGTCCATGACTTAGTAACTTACTTGGTTAGAGCAGCATTGAACTTTGTGTCGGTATCGTAATTTTTTTATTTAATCAAAATTTTTTTTTTTTTTTAAAACTTTATTTTTTTTTTTAAATTTTTAAAAAAAAAAAAAAAAAAATAATTCTTTTTTAAAAACAAAAAAATTTTTTTTTTTAATTTTTTTCTACTCGCAAAAAAAAAAAAAATTATTAAATCAAAATTATTAATTCATATAAAGCTACTATGTTTTTTTAATCGTTTTTTTTTTTGTAATTTAAAGCCAAGTCTTGGAACGATTTAATTTGAATTAAAAACTTGTTATTAATCGCAGTCTAGCTCATTTGGTTAGAGCAAGAGCACGGAACGCTGACGATGCCAGTTCAACTCCTGCCCGAATCGTATTTTTTTTAATTTATAGTCTGATGTCAAATGATTTAATTTAGTTTAACTACGACGTTTCTTTACAACAATTGAAATTTTAAAAGTTCAGTACAGGTACAACTCTCGTTTCTAACAGACGATATTTTGATAAAAACTCATCTCCAAAGTATATCATTAAAAGAGCAACAGGCACAATTTAAAAGCTTGAAATTGTATCACAGAACTGAAGCCTCATTTGCATAATGACCTGTGAAGGGGCGGAAAATGTTTGTGACGTTCATTTGTGATGCTCTCGTGGAAACGCCGAAATGAACGTCTCTTGTTGTAAAACATTTTCATTAATAATCTACACTAATATATAAAGCTGGAGAGATTGTTTATTTGTTTGTTTGAACGCGCTAATCTCAGGAACTACTGCTTCGATTTTTTTTGTGTTTGAGAAGGTTATAGGCTATAAAGCATCGCGCTGTGACTAATAGGAGTGAAGAAACAGCGGGAAATGTAAAGAATACGGGAAATTTATTCAACCTTGTGGGCTTCCATTGCGTATGCTACAAAAACGATTCAAGATACAAAAAAATATGTATGAGAGAATGATTCCCTTTTAAGTGATCTAAAAAGATGTCCCCGACAATATATGTCTATCTTTTATGATTAGCTTGCAAGACGAGACTTTAACGCGAACGCCGTCATGGGTAACAAGTTTAATTTATAAGGGTGAAGAGTTTTGAAAAATCCAATTTGAACGCATAACTGTTCTACGCGGACGAAGTCGCTGACACAGCTAGTGCTTTATAAAATGAACCCCGTTCCCTAAGTAGGGCTACCTGTCTATGCCGGTTTCGGGGATTGATTTGCTTAACAGTTTGTTGATCACTTCTGTGCCCTGTCCGACCGAAAAGCTTTAGCTTCCCCGGGATGGAACAAAGCTCTTCTCATGCTTATCTTGACGTTATTGAGTTATAGCGGTCTTTAAGTATAGATAGAAACTGAAATTGTAATATGTAATAATTTTACAGAGAACTGAAAAATGGGACGTGAGCCGTGATGTTTCGACGGTAAGTGTATATATCTATATATTTTTATATTGTATGCGAGATTCCAATTCCCCCCAATGTGGAACGGAGGTACACATTTGTGTTATTTCACTGATCGATAGGCAAGTAATTTAATTACATACTTGCCTTAATAATTATTAATTTCTTTACAAATGTAATATAATATTTGATTTCTCCTAATTTGAAACCAGGAATCGTTCGTGAAGGAAATTCTAGTGTAACATGTTTTTTATAGTTAATAAATATTGCCGCCCATTTCACTCCATATGTATATAAGTTTATATTTTTGTTATTTTTTTTTGTGCAATAAAGTGTAAATAAATAAAAAATATTTTAAGAACGTAATCTTTCAATGTTGGGAGAAAATAACCTAACTATACTTATGTACACATATTTCATAGAGGGGATCGTGCCGATGTAATTATAGGGTAAAGAGTAAATCGATCATGAGCGATATTGGTTCCTTTCAAATATGATTTCCAGCTTATACCCTCAACGATATAAGCCTTGGGTAACGTAACGAAGTATTTTAAGAAATCAATGAATTGTATCTAATGTATAACTTGCTTTAAACATGAAATAGTACGTTTTTCTGTAGTTTACGCGAGTAAAAAATACACTTTAACGGTTTCTTGATGTAAAAGCACTGTTTTGGAATAAGTTTTATTTAAATAGTACGTTTGATTAATAAAATAATATGAATTTACTCATTTCTTTGGTTAATTTGTATGTAATTAAGTAGACAAATTGATGGAATCTTTATAATAATTGTTTCATGACATATTTTGTAACAGTTATAATACTTTTTGTCTCTAGACAGTATTTTTGTTGGTACTCGTACATAACCTAAGTACAAATACCATTATTCTAAAAACATAATAATGTAATATAAATTACATTCTTCAAGTATGAAAAGCGTGTCTTATCAAATAATATTTTTTATTTTGTTTCCACTTCTGTAAGTGTTGATTTTAATTTTTTTTCTTAGCCCGACGAGGATAAACTCGTGACGTCAGTAGCAATACCAGCATTTGATTATAACTACAACGAGAATCACAATGATGCCAGACTGTTGGGAGTGGCTGGCACTGATGTCCCCATAGATAGCATCGCTAAGTTGGCTCAGCCCCATCAGGTAACTCCAATAAATAGAATAAGCAGTTCTTTGAATTAAAAATCATTAATTCGTGAAGTACAACATATGTTGATAACCTTTAATTGTTTATTACAGTTATCTTATTATTTGAAGAATCCATATTCAGCTTGTAAGATTGGATGATAACGTCGGTAAACCTTTTTAAATAAATAAATACAAATACATAAGTTGCTATGAAATGATGTACGATGATCATCAATATAATTCTAAATTTACATTTGCTATATAGCAACATTATCGAATTAATTAATAGTCTTTAAAAAGGAATCTAGCTGTCATTTGTTTCGTCGTTCATTGTTACAAAATTTTACGAGGAGCTAAAACGATTTGCGCGATGGTATTAACTTATTACCTTTAGATCAAACGTTAATCGCTTAGACTCAGAAAAACGTTTAAAAATAATTAGTAATTATTTATGTGTAGTATTATTTACTGTGCTGTACGGTACTGAATAAATAGTTTAGTAACAGCATTATTATGAATATTTCCTAACGTATACTTCGTTCTATTTGCATTGTCAAACTTTCTATCGTAAAAGTGCCTAATAACTCACTCTCGTGTCAGAATAATTCTATAAAGATGGTAATATGTTTTTAACAAATAAAAACAAAATTAAAGTAAAATTTAAAATTTCCAAAGAAATATGGTTCTCCTTTAATTTTTGAGCATTGTCGCATATTCCTAACAAAGCTTTCTCTGAAGTGTAGTGCAGTACTTGTCTCATCTCAACAGTACTCTATGCAGCTATAAGTGCTGAACGCGAGTCGCACTTCAGCCATGTGTGAAGTAGAAAATCATACTCTAAAAAATAATTTAAAGATTCATTCTAATTCTATCTATATCTATCCTACCATAGCGCAGCTTACTAAGAAAATTAATTTATACCCTTAGCAGCGGAAGTCAGCAACTCCTAAAAAAATAATGCTGCTGGCAACAAAATTTGGTAGTCGTTTGAAAGTTACGCACGTACCTACAGAGTACCGTCCGTTTTAAATGGCCTAACTTAGCGTAATCCATTTAAAAAAAAAACGTCCATAGATATCTATCGTTTTTTTCCTTTATTAGGATGTAGAGAAAAAGCGAATTAAATGACACACGTTTCTTACAAAATCACAGTATAATCTGTGTCATCACGACAGTTTAAAACAGATTTACCACACTAAACTGAATATTTTGTTTCAGCTTGGAGTAAATGGCTACTCTTTTATTGTTAGTAACAACGGATATCTTCTTTTACACCCTTTTCTAATAATCACGGTAAGTTAAATCTTTTCAGGAACATTTGGTTCGAAACGAAAAACTATTTTTGTATTGTCTGAATCATTAATAGGCATTAGACTATAGAACATCAGGCCACGACCAATAGGAAGAAACAGAAGGAAATATGGAAGTCGGAGAAAATTATTCTTTTTTGTGGGTTTCTGTTGCGTGCGCTGCGAAAACGGTTCAAGAAGCCCCAAAAAGTATGTATAAAAGAATTATTCTTCTAAAAATGTCTACAGCAGTATATGTGTGGACATTTTTTTAGTTCAGCGGTTACTTTTAAGATAAACTTGCAAGATCAACGGGACCAGGATAACGTCGTGGGTACAGTTATAATTTACAAACCTTCTGTGCAAAAATAAGTAATATAATGCCTAAAATGAAAATATAACTATTCTATGCGGACGTATTTGCAGACACGGTAAAATTAAATAAGATAAATAAAAACAGCACCAGCACCGATAAAACTATATGAAATCGCAAATGTATGCAATAAAGCGAGTATTGTGTGGCGATATTAAATTCCTTAGGCGATTTCCACCCTCCATATTACAATAACGTGCTTATAACGTTTATCCATTGGCTTAACTCCTTAAGTTATAGAGTTTACTCACGTAGTTATAAAAGTTATGCTTCGGCAGTTGTACACGAAATCGATTAAACAGATTTTGATGAAATTTAACAGGGATATAAACTTCAGAATACAGATCACAGGTAAAGAATCGTTCCCGTGTGAATGCTGGTTCAACGTTAAATGTGTTTATTTATAATCATATGTATTTTTTTATAAATATCTTCCTTGGCAGTGAACTCAGATGGGAAAGCTAGTATGTGGGTAACATATTCGTTGTTCTTTTGTTATTTTTTACATCTCTTTCGAGACACATTAAATTTGCCATTAAATATATAGTTAGTAGAATAGTTATTTTGTTTTTGCAAACCTTTATAAATCTAAACTATTATCCACTACGGCGATCGCGTCCGGTCGTTCTTGTAAGGTACTATTAAAAGATAGACATATAATGTTGCCGACATTTTTATAGGATAAGATAATGCTTCTTCTTTAAATTATTAAAAAGGGATCATTCTGTCATACATATTTTTTTGGGTAATTTGAACCGTTTCGCAGCGTTCTCAACGAAAACCCAACAAGGATGAAGATTTTTTTCCAGATTTTTCAATTTTTCGCTGTTTATCCGCTTCTATTAGTCGCAGCGTTGTTTTATAAATATAGCTTTCCTCGCTAAATGATTTTACTAACACAAAAATAATTGTTCACCACCATCATATTTGATATTAGAGGGATCATACAAACAAAGAAATAAATAGCCTAGAAAAAATAGGTATGTATTTAGTACTGTCTTTATTATAGATAAATGGTGAATTACAAGAGAATTACAACAGTGTAGATTTCGTGGAAGTGGAACAAGTGGACGATGGTAAGGGTCCACGCGAATTGGGAGACCAGATCAAGGAGCTTCGAGAGCACCTCGTTAACGGCACTGATGGAAACATGACCAGCGTAAAAGTGCTCTTCCATTACGACAATATGAGGTGAGACAAATTGATTTTATCTCTTATCTTATATACCTATTTCATTGTACACATGTCATTTTAGATTTATATGAATTATTACTGCATCATATTCTAAACAAACACTGCGCACTTACTCAAACATTGTATATCGTTCTCAGGAGGATAGCCCGGGTGAAACACGATTACTTCTTCAATAAATTAGAGGGGACGCCTTTCTCAATGGGAATCTCTCTACCCATGGGCTATGGTGACACGGAGTTGATGCTAAAAGACAATCCGTTGGAGGCGAAGCAGGGCCAGGATTTGATTGGAGTCAATGTTACCAGCTATTTCAACTTCACGTTTCGAGTTCATCCCGATTGGTAAACGGAATTAAAAATTGAAATGGTTTATAGATTGAAAAAAAAAATACGACACGGACAGGACTTGAACCGCCATACACAGCGTTCGGTTCTGTTGCTCTTACCAATTGACCTACCGTGTCCTACGTCATCGACGAATTTTTTCAACCTATTGATCAAGCACCTCTCGACTTTTTATTTATATAGTGCAATTATGTGCAATATAACATGTGGAAAATATTAAAGTTTTCAAACATATTTATAATGTTACTCGGAAGGGTTGTACCTTAACATTAAATGATTTTAAAGAGCTCCTAGGTGTAATATGTAGTAGCAATGTATTGGTAATAATCAAAAGATCGAGGGCGAACCCTAGATCGAAATCTACGTCGTAAATGTATAATGTATGTATTTATTTATAGCTACAAAAACATCAAAATTACTTAAACTATTATAATGATACGTTTTATGTTCCTATCTTATAAATATGGATAACGTTGACAATATTTATATAGAGAGATTTTAAAAAACAAAAATAAACACGTAATCATTTTTTTATTAAAATACAAATTGAATGGATACTAGTTTGAAAAACATTTGTTTCTTAAAGTAATGCTAAACTGCAAATAAAAGTTACTAAATTTTAATATTTGTTTAATATTTCTAAGAAGTCTCGAATATTTACAGGGTGTACTGCAAATACCATTATTTAGAAGGCCACGAATCGGAAGACTTCGAAGTCGAGATCTTCAAGTTCCTGGTGAACCTATCGAAGAATAAAATTGATATCACAAAGAAACAATACGGAGACGAAACTCAAGATGTGCCGTTTAATGTAGAGAGTGAGTTATTCAACTTGTTTTATTTGTTCATTATATAGCGTGAGAGGTTTTCTTACTTGTTTGTGAAAAAAAAAGCCAAAAAGCTTACTGATCTATATTATATTATTAAGCTAAAGAGTTTTTGTTTGTTTGAACGCGCTAATCTCAAGTATTATTGGGTCTAATTGAGAAAGAACTAGACTGTCCGCGAAATGCACATCTCTTAAGATTAGATTACCTTTAAGAGGGGATTTGCAAAAACAAATTTTGATGCACAAAATAACAGCTAGTTACTTACATTAAAATTAAAATCCCAGTTATCTCCGTGGGGCATGGGGCGAACACATTACTGTGTTCGTTTTGCTGATCAATTTTCTTTACAAGTAAATTGTTGACCAGACTTCTGTATCCTGCCCGAAACAATCTATTGTTTTTATGGGATTGGAATGCAGGACCTATCGCGCTTAACGCATGACTAGACAACACGTTCAGCCATTTAGCTACAGTTGCAGATTACTTATATACTGATATCTACAATATATCGCGTTTTAAACCGGTAAAGTGTTTTATTTAAATGTGTTCTTCTCGCGTAAACTATAGACAGTATTTACTTATATCTAATTCATATATTTTCAGCCCACTGTGGTACAACACCGTTGGGTAAAGACGATTACTACTGTAACGAAGATCTGGTAAAGCAATTAGTGTTTGACGCGAAATTGTCTACTCCGTACTTCAGGCATTGGGAAGCCACAGACCAGGAACGGGAACTAGCCAAGAAGTACAACGTCAGTGTACGTTTCATTGCGACATCTAGCGGTTTAACTCGGTGGCATTACATCTTTGATGATGATAAGAATGAAGTAGTTAACGAGCATGGATTTCGGGAGAAGGAATATGACGGACCGTGAGTGTTGACAACCAATTTAAAGGCTGTTTAATTTGTAAAAACCTGAACAACTATTATTATTATATCGTTTTTGTTGTATCGTTTTTGTGGGTGTTGGTGTATATGTATGTACTGTATTTTATGCTAGTACTCTTTTAAATATAACAGCTTAAACCGTTAAAACGCGAAATATATTAGTTACCCTCTCAGGAGGTCTCCCCGTGACCGAAAGCATCCGAGATGTCAGGTCATAAATTTAATTAAAAATAAGTTCAAAACTTTCAGACAAATTCGGAGCAATAATCCACCACACCTAAAAAAAAATTCGTATATAATGACATTCATCTAATGTTAGAAATTTATGTCTAATAAGCTACAGGTCGATGAGTTCCATTCCCGATGGGGCCAACATGATTTTTTTAATTTTTTTTAACATATTGGACATCGTCTGAAAATCTGGATATGAATAGGCGGTAGGAATATTTAAATTCCGTCCGAGTCATGAACATCCACAGTGTGGATTTAATTCCGAATATCCAAATCCAAAATAGGTCGACAACGCATTTTATTTAGATGTTATATGCTGGGCTATTTGACCTTCCACTAAGTTAACTCCATACTAGTCTGTCCTCCTCTATAAAAAATAATTGCGATCTAATTTTCCAGGGTTTTCGGTGATCAGTACCACAACGCTATTGAAGAGACGTGGTACAAAGCTGCAGTACTTCAACATATGATTAGCAAAGAGTCCCTAGTGATAGCTACCCCTTTACCAATACTGGACACCACCATTACTTCTAGACCATCGGTTCTGAACGAAGAAGGCGATATAACTATAACAGCCAGTTACGCCATTTTTTACAAAGATGGCGACTCTGAAACACCCGCCGGTGTTGTGGGCTTTCAATATTTACACTCGAATTTCCACGAAGTTTTCCAAGGTATAACCAACCAGGATGGTGATGTGAGTACGTCTTTTTTGTACATTTTACTCAATGTATATGTTTTACAAACTTATAGCATTTGAAGAAAACACTTTAACGGTTTACATGCGATAATTATGGTCTTCCATGACCACGGCTGCTGTAAAGCATCTGAAGCGTCGGGTCGTAATATAATTTTTAAAAAATTCAACTAACAACTATATATCGCGTTTTAAACCGTTAAAGTGCTTTATTTAAATGTACAATACTCGCGTAAACTTCAAACAGTAAGTATTTAAACTTATTGCGTTTTCCGAAGATTTAAAAAGATGCTGAAGCAAAAATATTTTGATATTAGACAAAAGGAATCCATAAAACGATTGAAGAAGTACTTGTTTAGTTAAAATATCAACTGTTTTATCTCTATTATATAACAACATATGTATACATGTGTTTTATAAAAGGCCAAAAAAGGTGACGTACACTCTTATATTGTCATAAGGATAAGAACATAATACGGTTAAAAACGTTAGGTTATCAAAGGTCAGACATATTTATATTTCGCTGCTATAACATTGTACTATGTAATGTGTACCAATCACTAAAATTACAGTCGACATTACTTAATTTACACTTTATTGTCTTGTTTAAAATTAGATTTTAAGTTTTTAACCTCTCTCCTTGATAACCGATAATTTTTATTACCGCCGCATCTGTGGCCAAATTTTTAAACGTGTTGCCTAGCCTTGCATTTCTATATATCAGAGGAAAGAATGAATTGTTTCGGTCGGGCAGGGCACAGAAATCTGATCAACTGCCTGTAAATGAAACTGGTCAGTGAGACGGGCATAGACATGTGTTCGTCCCGTGCCCCATGGGGTAAAAAAAAAAATAAGGTATGCACACAAAGAATATTTAAATATACTTAAACATTAAAAAATATATTAGGCTTTCGCAGCTATTTTGCAACTTTGCGAAGGCTCTAAAAAGTCAAGAACCGTGTAAAATCCCCTGATGACGTCATCAACTCGTAATGACGAAACGAAATAATTTCTCAGTCACGACGGTCGAACCGCTTAGGTTTTAGCTTTAATTAAAGGAAGTATTTCAAAATGACTATGTTCCAGGAGCTAACATGCAACAAGGAGGGCAATTATGACTGCTACCTCATCGACAGTTCAGGGTACATAGTGCTATTAGTTGAGGAAAATGAGGAAAACACAGTAGGAGATTTCTTCGGGCACATAAACCCTTATGTTCTACAATCTTTCATTGATAAAAATATCTTTGAATACGTGGAGGTATTTAATTATCAAGCACTGTGTCCAATATCTATGATTAAAACTCAAAGTGGCGCTTCTTCGTTGAACTCGGTAAGTAATAGAAGAAAACCATATTTTAGATTTAAAATATAATATATACGGATAGAATTCGAAGCCACAACTACAAGTGTTTTTGTTGCTTAACCAATAAGCTACTGAGTCTCGTCCTATCAGATTTGTCGCATCGTAAAGCTAACGTATTGGAAAAAATTAACATAGGTACATTTTACTTAGACTTAGTAATTTAAAAAAGACATATATTTTTATTTATTAACTTAATGCGCACATATATAACTTAATATCATAATTAATAAAATAAAAAAATATCTCCTTCTATTGGTAAATTGATTTTACGAATTTCGTTACAGGTAAAACATTTTACCAAAACATTAATAAAGTTAAAAGTGTAAATTTTGTTATGTATTTTCTTTTCAGATGTTCGGTGCTCTGTCAAACTTATTCAAATGGTTGTTAACTGAGGCCTTTTTTATAATTTTCGATTTTGGAAATTGGAAAAATCAACTGTATGCGGCTACCTTCGATCCCTATGGTAATTATTATATATTTATTATTTTGTGTATATATTATACTTTATACACTTACTTTCATTATAAACAAACATGCGAAAGAATAATTAAACTCGAAAAATATATACAATAATTTATTGATTCTATTGTAAAATATAAATACAATTGTTCATAATTATTTTGAGTATCTATAAACATAAGATTATGTTAAGAACCGGCTGTAATTTACGCGAGTAGTACAAATTTAAATGGAATAAGTTTACCCGCTTAAAACGCGACTTGTATTTATTACCCTAATTTACGTACCCGTGACCACGACTGGTGCAGCCGAAATGTCGGGGAGTAGTTAAGAAAATTGTAAATAAGTATAGCTAATACACTTCGTGTTTTAAACTGTTAAAAGTGTTTTATATAAATAACACAATGTTGTTAAGGATGATAAAATGGAATAAGTAATAAATCATTGACTAAGTGACCTATAGTTTATTTATTAAGCATAGTAACAGTAATATCAACCATAACTCATTAACATTTAAATATTGTTGCTATACTAGTTGCTGACAGAGAAGAGACAACTACACTGTATCCAGAAACAGCAACAGATAGAACAGAAAACGAAACCCTGGAAGCTAAAGAAGAAGAAGAAGAAGGCAAGCGTTTCTTTTCATGCGACCACAGCATCAAACTGTACATTCTAAACCAATCGTACTTTCTGAACTCGATGATCCTATCGCCTGTGGTCTATGAAGAACACGCTGGTGACTGTCATCCGCCATATTGGGCGACTCTGGTCCCAAAAACGAATTTGCTCTTAGTTGTAGTGGAGAGGGGGGCTTGGAAATTTAAAAAGGACTGCACTATCCCCCCCAAATACTGTTCCGATTCCGACCATAGATTCCACTACCAGCCGAGAACCGTGTCATAAGCTGGATTTGGGAAGACTTAAAAGGCGACGGTTGGAAGGCTGCTTCACGTATCATGATAAGGTGAGGAATAACTAACGCGATCCTGGATTAATATTTATAACTAACCACGCGTCAGCGACTACGGCCGCGTAGAATAGTGATTTTGTGCATCTAATTATCCCTAGAACCGCTTTCGTACGGATCGTGAATTTTTTATTTTGCCGCTGTTCCTTCGCTTCTATTAGTCACATCGCAATGTTTAACCATCAAAGATTAACCTAACAAAATATTTTTTTAATTCGAACCAGTAGTTCCCGAGATATGCACGTTCAAACAAACAAACTCTTTAGCTTTATATATTAGGACTCAAGAGAAAATAACTTTTTAAATTTGTCACACTAACGGAAGCAACAAAGAACACTTAGTAATTAAAGTTGGTTGGTATTTGTTACAGGAACGAAATATAACAGCGTGTGGTATGGGCAGTCTTACAAAAGTAAACTTTGTAATCTTCGTAGCAACAGCACTGATGTCTTTAATTTATAATAATCTTTCCACGTGATGAAACACATCGACTAGTCAATGGTACTAATTATATTTTGTACCTTTCCTATTTTCACAATAAAATTTATTTATGCCACTTGTATTTCATTCTACCCGACACTTTACTTAATTTATTTACAACACTTATATAATACCTTCTTAAAAATTACCCGTATTCGCAATAAAGTAAAACTACCCGCATTTGAGTAACAAAAAGTTGACACATTGACCTATTAAGTTAAATCGATGTTTACGCACGAATTGTTACACAACGCAATAATCTCAATACCCAAAAGCCATTCAGCGCAATTATCGATGTACGCATGCGCGTAAAATTGTGCGAGTTTGCGCAGAGCAGCGGCGCCGTTATCACTTATCGAGCACACCCTAAAACTCGGTCATCTAAGAATTTTACAAAGCAATAAGCAACTAGTGTTACGCTGAACAATATGCAAGTTTTTTGAACAGAGTATTAAGAAGAGTGTGGACTAGAGATCTCTGATGTGCAATCGTGCTGGTGTCGCATTACTGCTATTTTTATCATTCGAGTCCACGTATTTTGCGGCCAACGCTCAACATGTACCCAATAGCCGTATTTCGTTCAACACGTAAGTTAATTACCAACATGGTACTACAAATACCTAAAATAAACACATATTTATGTTACGATCTGGTAAATTACAGAGTACAGGGTTGGGGAGTTAAACTCGGTACTGAGTTATATCATTTTGGAGAATTTATCACAAGAAAGAAGGAGGTTGAGGATGTAAGTACATATCCAATTAACTTAAGCGCAATTTGTAAGAATAAGATTATTGAAAGATATTAAGAGAATGTTATGAAGACAAAGAATGCATAATCCTATTGCCATAGTTACAAATAATTAATTAAATTAATTACTTAAGGGCACATTTGTTGCTCTTTTATTGAGATAGATTTTAAATTTCGTACGTTTCCTTTCAGAGTTGGAAGTCAGCGCAAATAGAATCCAGGGATGGGGAAAAGCTGGTACAGAGTATGGGGGACGATATTCGGGCGATGATGGAGTTAAAAATAAGTGCCGTCAAAAGGATAGTGGAAGCGGCGGAGAACATGGCTTTTGACAAACAGAACGAGCCGGTGCCAGAAGACTTTCAGTTCTATAATAGTAAAGAAATGGAAGATTTAATGGATGACTCTATAACAACGACGCCGGAGCCCGAATTCAATATGGAAAACTGGATCGTTCGTCCACCATCCAAGAATGCAAACCTTCAGCAGAATCATCATTTCTCTAGCATACCTGTTAATATAAATATCAGTAGCGTACATGTGCCAACTAATGTTTATGCTTGGGGTATGTACTAAAGATTCTATACTTTCATTTGACGAATTAAGACTTATTATATCATAAAAAAGAACTACTACCGAGAACTATGTACTTTTAAGTCATAGTTTGACTTTGCTCTAGAGCTTAGGAAAACAAACTAACCAAAACTTCGGGAGATTTAGGATTGAAAACCTGGACGTGCTATTAAAACCTTATCATATTATAAAGGATCCACATCTGAACCCGGGCCTTTTATACATAATATTAAAATTTTTATGTGACCATTTCAGCACCAGAAGTTATCAAAGGAATCCATTGGTCCGAAGGTTTAGACACTCACTTTATCAACAATTATCAAAGTGATCCTACACTATCGTGGCAGTACTTTGGGAGTTCTACTGGGTTCATGAGGCATTACCCTGGTACGTGAAATTTTAAGAGAACTTTTACACTATTTTTGCTCTTGCTTATTTATTTTAAAGTGAAATATTTCCCACCCGAAATATGTTTACATAAAATTAGACAAAATATATGTCAAATACTTTAGTTTCCCAGAAATCTTCGGCCGTGTAACGGTTTGACCCGATTTTAATTGGCCACAGCTTTAGGTATATGCTTCTGTTGTTATCTAAGTGTAGCATAGAGCGCCAATCTTGTGATTTATAATCACTACGAATTAAGTATTGCTAGATTATATTTAACATATTTAATTTGGTTGTCTCTAGCGATGAAGTGGCGAGCCGACCCAGTTGACATATATGACTGTCGGACAAGAGCTTGGTATATGGAAGCAGCGGCGAGTCCAAAAGACGTCATAGTACTTGTAGATCGCAGTGGCTCAATGACCGGACAGAGAAGAGATATAGCTAAACACGTTGTGACGAACATCTTAGATACACTGGGGAATAACGATTTCGTTAACGTGATGACTTTTGCTGATACTGTGGAGGAAATTGTACCATGTTTTGAGGATTCTTTAGTGCAGGTAACTTTCAAAAATATGTATGATTGGGAACATGAAGATTTTTCAACATAGACTAAAATAAAATGTCTTGCTCGAAAAGCACTCAGCACTGCTTTTAAAGAATAACAAATAATTAAGAATAACGAAGACGAATTCCCTTATTTAATGACTTTATTGACATAATTTTATTAAAGTACATGTTCTCTAACTTCTATATTCTGATTTGGAAATAATCTGGCAACGCTGTACAATATAGTGATGTAGGTAATCGTATAGATATTTAAGTATGAATTGAATATTACCAAATGTCATATTGCAGGCGACGTTGGGAAATATTCGAGAATTTAAATTGGCATTAGAAAACTTTGAGACAATGGAAATAGCTAACTTTTCAGCAGCGCTCACTAGAGCTTTTGACCTTCTTGAAATCTATAGAAATAATAGTGGTGGAGCAAATTGCAATCAGGTATGTGTTTGTCAAATACCATCAGTGTGGGACATAAAATGGACCTATTTCTATAACTTTATGTACTAAAAATAGGTTATTATACTTCTGTGCCCTCTCGGTCGTGAGTATTATCATAATATCGGGTTTGAATCTAGATACTTTAGTGATTAACGCAATGCATATAACCAAAAATTGAACGGAGGAGTTCAACCAGGTACTCATTATCAAACTATAGTAATAGGTACGCAAGCAGTCTTTTTCGTTTCACTCTCTGGTAGCTAAGTAATATAAAAATTTGTTCTTTTCCAGGCAATAATGCTAGTAACAGATGGCGTGCCATATAACTACAAGGAAATATTTGAAAAGTACAATTGGAAATATGACACGCCAGTACGAGTGTTCACGTACCTGATAGGTCGCGAGGTAAAGGTAGTACCACTCCAGGTATTACTGTGTTGTAGTCATTGTGCGTCCTGCATAATGCCTTCCTGTCTTCTCTTCTACCAGTACTCCTTGAATGTGGTACTCTGTGGTCAATCTTGTCTTTTCTTGATGCAGAATGACTGGAAGTTTATACGTTTATTATTAACAGGAAACTTCTTTTTTACCTCTTATATCTTCTTGTTAAAAGCCTTTTATCTAGTCATTCTGTGTGTTGCATGACCCATCTATTATCTATACTATCATATTCTAACCAAATACCTTTGTTGTTCCATTACTTACGTTGCTTAGCTTTGTTCGGTGTTAGTTGTTTGTCTCGCTAGACTGTATCTAGTTAATTTTTTAGTGTTAATATAATAAAATATTATAGTTAAGACACATTTTTATGTTATGTTATAGTTTTTTTTGGATTAAGCCTTCAAGCCTTATCATTAACAATCTCACTGGAGTTAAAAGTACACATGTGTTTTGTAGCATACACTTGATTCTTAGATTCACTATCTCCTGGGATATTCACGATTGTTAGAGAGAAACGCTTTTGTTATTTAAATCTAAATTAATTAGTGATTACCAGGTGGCAGATGTAAGAGAAGTGAAGTGGATGGCTTGTGCGAACAGAGGATACTATGTCCATCTCAGCACTTTAGCGGAAGTACGAGAGAGAGTGTTGGAACATGTCAACGTTTTAGCAAGACCGCTCGTGTTGCAAAGGGAGAAGCATCCGGTTGTTTGGACTCCGGTTTACGCAAATGTTACGGTGATTAAAAACAAGTGAACGCTTTTACTAATGGGCTCTGGCTTTACTTAAATATTCTTCTATTGAATTATATACTATACTACCTAAGAGTGATAGAGTTAAGGGCAACGGCAGACGAAAAGAGAAACAAAAATATGCGTGACTGTGGTTCATAGAACAGTATAAATTAATTAAATTACTAGTAGCTCGATAGTAGTTAGATTTGAATAAGAAGAATACGAAATGGTTTTTACTAGTCAAGTTTTTAATGCAGAAACATTTTGTAGGATCCAAAAGTGGCCGATTATTTGTGGGAGCAACGCGAGCGGGCAGAGCAAAAAGAACGATTTATGAGCCAACGGCGAGACAAAGCGTTATTTAATTCGGAAAAAGAACAGACGAGAAGATGGAAAATTACTCAGGTGAGGTCCTATATTTCGAAATTTCGATTTGCTATTCGAAATAAGCTGTCTGTAGGTGTATGAATTTAGAAAGACTCCGAAAGTCTAAATTCAAATGTACTTTCTGTAACAAGTACCTTAAGTAAAAAGTTAATTAAGTTATAATTTGTTTCAGATGAAACAAGGTCAATACAGTGAGATAGGAAACTCGCAATATCAACTTATGACCTCAGTCTCTATGCCCGTGTACGACTTACGACACAATGAGGTAAGGTTTCATTTTGAATATGTATGTACATATAAATGTGATTTTATAATCTTTTTCCTTATAAAATGTCGCACGGAAAAAGAAAGAAGTGAACAATTTCATCTTAAAGGAATGCAGTTCTTTCTCTTTCTGTGTTTGCAAATTACCCCAAAATTTTAAAATTATTTTCCAAATTCAAAATTTTTGTTCTGCATGTGAAAACTTTTTATTCCAATTTATTCCGGATGATGTTCACAGATTGGCTTTTACGTTACCAAATTGGACGTAAGCTGTGTCTTCCCATTGCTGTTGTCGTATATAATTCATTTGTATTTTAACTAACACATAGGCTTTTAATAGTAATCAGTTTTTGTTTGATGGTTTCCCCTCAGAACATCACAGAGAATGTACTGATAAATGAAGCTTACTGGGTATCCGTTACGAAAGAGGTACTACACTTAGAGAATTTTGATGATTTTATTGTAAAGTTCTTGCAAGATACATGAGAGTTCTTATGATTTAGTTTTTGGATTTCAGTAACGGTAAAGTCTTATTTGGCCCCGTTAGCGATGCATCTGTCCTCGAATAATGACGGCCCTCGCAGTCCCAGACTGCTCCACGAGTTGTTTTACCCTCTTGGCTTAATGTAGTGTAGTTATCCTAGTTGTAGGCGTAGACCATTAGGGTGCTAAGAATCTATTCAATACTTATAATCGAGCCAGTTATTTTCGTGCAAGAATTATAATCTGTATCACGCACTATCTACAGAATAAATTACTTTTGCCTGATCTTAGCGGTGTCTTCGTAGAGGCATCTTAACTGACTTGTATTATCTGAAGTAAATGTACATACTTTTTCATTGAGAATATCGTGCAGCCCGTCTTCTGCGACGTATGGGGCTTTTGTATGTTGAGATTATTTTTAAGAATGACAGAGTTTTTGATATGTTGACAATTCTTAGTGTAAATATAAGTTCTCATCGATAGCGATGGGAGGTTTCTTGATTTCTAGAAGTGTTTGTTATAATGCATTTATCTACATGTTATTATATTTTATTGCATTCGTACGTCCACAACCAATTGCAGTCTGTAGAGGAGAACGGCCAGACAGAGGTAGGCCATCGCTCTCTTAGACTTGAGTGTGACAGACGCGTGCAAGGTCTGGGGGTCCATCTTTGAATGCTTCTTTTGACACCTTTATCCGAAGTTAATGGACTATATTAATTAACGAACCAATATGACTTATTCTACAAATCTTCCCGTTTTTATAGTTTTAAACTAAGTAATTAGCTTCACAAAGTATAATGAAAAAGATGAAAACTCAAAAATAGACTCCCCGCATGAATGGTATTCTGATACCTCAATATAAGTACTTTTATTAACATAATACTTTGAATCCATATTCGCAGGAGCCCCAAATCAACAAGTGCTCCAAGACATAATTTTTGTGATATTAACATCTTTCACTAACAGCAAAACATGGACTATGTGAAAGGTTACAATTAAATAGAAGGAATAGTTCTTAGATAAATGCGTAGTTAAACACACTGAGTTGTGGATTTTTTTATGTAGCCTTTGCTAGTACTTTTTATACATACCTATTAATAAAATAATCATAGACAGTTCATGTACTAAGTATGTAGAATTTTATTGAATCATGTTTTTAAACTAACGGGGCGTAGATGTTAGCCAGATCCTATGCTAGAAATAATGACTATATTTTAGAAGTATGTTATGATGGTATTTTAATTGTGTGTTAAATTTAATGTAGTTTTATTTATAATTAACAATATGTTTTATACTTTTCTTGATATTGGATTTTAAGTTATCATTAACAATGAGAACGATTTCAGATGCGTATAGCTAGATTGTTAGGAGTGGCCGGAACAGATGTGCCACTCTCTGAAATACAGGCTCTCATGACTCCTTACAAGGTATGTACCTGATAATATTTAATTTTGTATGACAAAGAATGACCAAACGTAGGTCAGCAAAATATAGCTTCTTTTAACACTTTGGAGAAGTAGAAATCTTTGTAATTTCATAAAGAATTAAAAATAATACTCTGAGGACATAATGATTTTTTATTGTTTTATTAATAAAAGTAGTAGTTTTATATATTATATCACATTGTAAACTAAAGTTGTTCACGCGATATTGAGATGATAGATTACAACTAATGTATTTATTTCAGGTCGGAGTAAATGGTTACGCGTTCATGGTAACAAACAACGGCTACATTTTAATACACCCAGATTTGAGGCCAGTGGTAAGCAAATTGCATCAAATATACATATATAAAACGTAACGCCTTTGCATCAGTATTATTCACCTTCATTGTTACAGTTTCAACAAATACTGAAACCCAGTTATAACAGCGTAGACATGATTGAAGTTGAACTGTTTGATGATGATAGAACTCCTAGGAACTTCAGTAAGGAACTAACGGCGGTAAGTCAAGTTTTCTAGGTGAGATATTTAAATTAGCCTTTATATCAAACTTTAGTCCTTTAACGTCCGAGCTCAATAACTTACAGTGAAAGACAGATAGCTATCCTGGTTAAGCTGTAAGATTTAAACTACCTTTGTTGTATTAAATGTAATGTAAGGATGTATTCTACATGGGTATAATAACAAAGCTTTAAGTATTTTAACTATTAGTTAAGATTTTAACTTCTAGTTAAAGGTAAGTTGAATAACGGGAACTAGCCGTAAGTTAGGATTAAAATTTAATGTTACACTCATCAAAACATATAATGAACGTGAACGGAAGGATATTTGTGTGCTATTTTTGTTCTAAAATGCCTGGACTGATTTTGTGGGAATGTGTTGTCTAGCTAGACATTTTCTATAGAATCACATAAGAATTATATCAATAAATAATCAAATCAAATTTCAATTCAGAATGAACAATAGTTGACGAGACACTTTGTGATTTTAGCTGCGGCAGGATATCATTGATCAAAAGACAGGGAACAAAATTATGAATGTCAAATATCATATGGATGACATGGTGAGTTCCCATTTTTTTCAGCAGTTGTGGGTTTATTAATAAATCAGTTATAAGACTGCTGGTAAAGGGACGAGTAGAAGAAGTAGATAGCCTAGTGTATTGCTAAGGAAGCAGAAGATAACTTGTAGTTTTCGTGGTACAGGAGGTCAGGCAAGCATGGGTTTTCACTTGATGGCAGGTGAAATACACTAGCCATATAATATCTGAACTAGATGACCTATTTTGCCTTTGGACATTCGGAAATCCAAAGGCTGAATCCAATACGCAAATCAACTTCACGAATTTTCATCTGTTAACGGTGGTCGTCTGAAAGGGATTTCGATTTTCCTTAACACCCATTTAATTATACTTTAATTATTTTTTTTAAGAAAAGGGTATCGCGTGGCAAGAAACACTACTTTTGGACTGGTATTAGCGATTCTCCGTTCACTCTAGTAGTGGCTATTCCTGAGAACTATGGCAGGCATAGAATCACTCCGCCCCCAACGGACGATATACATAGACTTTCCCTCACCTCAAAGAATATATCAGCCAGGCAGTATCTCTCTGATAAGTGGAGTGTTCATCCTGATTGGTAAGAGAAAACGACATTGTGTAAAATTATAAATCATTGTGTATAAGTGTTGCCAACAAAGCATAATCATGTTGATATGATTGAGTAAAGTATAATAAATGGTTCACGCCTGTCATTTTTTGGTGTTCGGCATCGAAGTTTTATTTAATGAGATCATATTTATCCAAGTATGGAACTGATCTTCTCGCTTAATCGGCCGACACCGAAAAAATTTATAAATTTCTTTTTCATATATTTTAATAAAAGTAATAATAAATAAAAATCTATTTAGTTTAAAAATAAATTATGACATGGACACGCGACTTGAACCGGCAACCACAGCGCTCCGTGCTGCTTTAACCAATTGACACGGTTCATTGTCAAGCTTGGGGAAGACAAAACCTGCAGCACGAAACAGTGTGGATGCTGGTTCAAGTTCCGCTCGCGTTGTCAAATGTTTTCAATCTAAATAGATTTTTGATTTATAAATGTATGGTAGATAATGAAGTTTCTAAAAGAGTGAATTAAAAAAAATGTCAAATAACATTTTAGGTTGTATTGCCGTCACTATGAAAGAACATTTTCCACACCAGAGGAGGAGCTCCTATACTTCTTAGAACGGGTTGCCAAGCCAGGTTGGCGCTGGCCAGCCAAGCCACGCCCCCCAGAACATCACAAGAACAAGCAAGGCCATGGGCATAACGGTAACTATATTTGTTTAATGAAAAACAATACTAAACTGAAATTTTCTCCTTCCTTAAAGAAGTATAACATAATATAAAGTAAGGGACACATTTCTCTCTATTTTACTGATCGATTCTCTTCTCAGACTGAAGTGTAGGTAAACCAAGAAGGTGCCGCGCTTAACGCTATTATCCCAAAATATAATTTGAATTTCTTTTTTAGTTTGTCCATCTCTGTAAAAGGTAGTTAGTTATATATGTTCTTCTAATATCTATAAATGAATTAATATGTGTATGTGCTATGTTTTATGTTAATATTATAATTCTACTTTAGTAAAACAGTTGCGGTAAGTAAGAATAAGGATTATTAGTAATGGTGTAATTATTAACTTATGACATTTACTTTATCATGATAGGCTCCGTAGAGGGAGAAAGAAATAAAGCAGCACAGAGGAACGAGTATTACTGTAAGTATCTATAATTACTATGCAAATGTTAGTCGTATTAAGTTTTTAATTGTTTTAAGAGTACAACATACCGTACCGTACAGAACAGAGAGGGAAACTTTGGTGCAGAAATCGTTCTTGGCAGGTTTTTCAATCCTCTTTGCGTTCATAAATAAAAAATACTTGTTTGTTTGTAAATTATATAAAGGCTTTTGTGGCAATTTTCAAAAGCTTTTACGGTTTTAATGCCGTTCGGCCGGCGTAATTTATAAACTGTTCTCGACACGATGACGTCATCCAGTCGTGTCTGGCGATACGTCGAGACCAATTTCTCAATTACGACGACTGGAGTTCAAAAAAACACTATCAAAAAACCCAAGAAACTCTTTTTAATATTATTCTATAATATTGTTTTTGAGCGATCATATTTTCTCTTCCTTAATCGTAATACGTTTTATTAGGTGACCACGGACTCATGCAAGCTCTAGTCTATGATGCACGAAACACAGCGTGGTTTAACAAGAGCATTTCAGATTCGGCTTCGGATGACAAAGCGTAAGTATTAATACTAAATTATAGACTAGGTACAGAACTAGACAGGATATTAGACTGCTAAAAATAATTTTGTACAAAAAGGATGCATGGCGGTGAATAAAAAAAGAAAATAAAAACTTAATTCCGTCCAGATTAATATCGTTATCATGCTATTGCTAAAATAAAATTATTGTTATAACTTTAATTTAAGTAGTTTATAGTAAGACTTGAAACATACATTCACACAAAAAGGCTACTTGAAGTATTTTATTACGCGAGTCACATCAAAAACTTTTAACAGTTTAAAACGCGAAGTAATAACGATCATCCAAATGATGCTGACATGACCTTACGACGTAGGACAAGGTCGTAATTAAAAATAAATGAATTTACTCATAGCTTTCGTGATTTAAACCGTTAAGTGTTTTGATATTTTTAGGGATGTACTTAGCTAATTTTAGTTAGTACTATTTATTTTGAAGCACATATAATTTACTTTGCACATACATTTTGTTATTCCGCCTGGATAGCCCATTGACAAAAGTGATTGGACTGTTGCCGAGGTAAAGTGTTATATTTATAGATAATGCATGAATGGCTTTTGTACAATGTGTGTCCAGTTTCACTTATTTCAAAGAAAAAATACACCAACTCCTATTAAGTACTACGGTCAGATACAATTTCAATAGAATATTCATTAATATAAGATTTGAATTTAACAATAAGAAAAAAATCTTTTTCAATTCTTTTTCCTTGGGTCAAGATATTTTGGTACATATTAAAATCATAATATCAACAAATATGTAAGTACTCAACTTGCTTTACCTATTCAAAAACTACTTACACGATTAATAGAAAATGGTTTTGGAAATTTAAGATTTTGAATTATGTACACATCGAGTTTACTACGATTATTTAATAAAATATATAATAAGCTATTAAATGCAGCTCAGGATCTGTAAGTTACACGTTAGATGTTGTCCCGAATGCTTGCCACGGATCATCGTAAGTTTGGTAGTTTTTCAAACGAAGTCGAATTTCTCTGCGTTCTTTAATTTTAAGCTACGAGCGTTTTAATTTATCTTGCATCATAATTTTTCACGTATATATTTTTATGTTAAAAAGGGATGAGTTACAGCATTCTTAAATTAATGTGTTTGTTCATAGGGCGGAGTTCATACAACGATTTGGATACATCGTAGCTTTCTTGGCGACGCACGGCGGTCTAACAAGATGGCAGACCCATCCACCAAAGGATCACGATGACAGGTATGACAGACATTATTTTAAAATCTTCGTGAAATGAAGAATCCGGATATACTGAGTAGACCTGTCATTGTTATAATTCACGTTATGATAACACAATAAGGTTGAGTTTTCCACTTTCAGAGTTGAATTCGGTAAACAATGGCCGCGCGCGATCGACGAAGTCTGGTATCGTCGTGCCGTAGAACAGCATTACGTAGACCCTCTCAGTTACGTGTACAGCGTGGATATGAATACTGAGAAATTCCCGCTGAATGTCAGCGCTGCCTTGGTGACGGCGGCGCACGCCGTCTTCCACAGCGATGGACACCGGAAGGCACCGGCTGCTGTTGTTGGCTTTCAATTTAAACATGAGAGATTGACTGAGTGGTTCGACAATATTACATCTTCAGTGAGTAACTATTTTATAGGTACTTTCTTAATATTTAGCATTAAAGAAAGAAATCCAATCAACCAATTCCAGAAACATAAAGCAGAGATGACCATGCGGCCCGCCGATAGCAAAAATAATACACAAATTATTAAATTTTACTACTTTATTATTAATTCTTTATCGTCTTCAATTACCTATACTTCTGGCGGCATCAGTTCATGATTTGCCCGAGTGGCCCCTAGTATATAAGTCTGTGCATCCCTGCTTTAAAGATTTGGTTTTTCCTTGACTTTAAGTAAGGGGTTGGTAATTCTCTCGATCCATGGTTTACTTATTTTTTTAGTGTGAGCACAGCAAAGATTGCGTGACTTGTGCGTCTGAGGAATGGGACTGTTATTTGGTTGACAATAATGGATGGATAGTGGTAAGCAAGGACAGCACTCAGACGGGACAATTCTTTGGAAAGGTATTTAGTTTCTAGCCGTTAAAATCTACGTTTTAATAGTTCTAGAAAGATCTTAAAGGCTTTCCTTTTCATTACAGATTCGACCAGACATAATGTCCAAAATGATAGAAGATGAGGTTTATAAAACTGTTCACGTGATTGATTACCAGGCAGTGTGCTTTAGGGAGAAGAAGGTTACGAATCCAGCATCTACGATACGAACAGTAAGACATTTTTTTTACTTAGTTCCTTTGCTCTATAAAGTGTAATTGAAACCGAGGACAAAATGGAGAAACCTTATCATTGATTGCAAGAATCATTTAACTTTATGCGTCTAACCTATTTACTAAATTACTTTCTTTTAGCCCATAGACAACTTGCGGCTCATTATGTCATGGTTCGTTACAACAACAACGTGGTTCTACAACTCTGTGTCGTTGTCTATGGCTCAGTCCAGCTACTCATTCGACGATGGTAAGATGTTCTTCATAGATGTATTATGTTAGTAGAATCTTTACAAGCGAAGATATACATTATTTTATGTTTATCTCCGTTTTGTGACGTTACATCGTTTATGCTGTCGTTTGATGTTGAAAGAAATACGAGAAGAAACAGATAAGCGACGCAAGAGTTTTTATTTTAAGCCAAAAGTCAGTTCTACCAATTGACCCTTGATAATTGATTTACGTCAGAGAAACATTTAAAATAGTTATTCAAACGAGTTCAAACGCGTGCATACTTAAATTAAGTTTTGCTTAATTTCGTTAACTGTGTATCGATCGCAAGGTGGTAAAGTTAATTTTTAAAAAATGGTTTTTTGGCTCATTTAAATTATTTTAATTTAATTGTTGCTTTTAAAGTTTAGAAGTTTTCTTCCTTAAGGCCCGAGAGTACTGGTTCTTTTCCCAACTATTACTGACTTTTGGCTAGACATAAATGTTTGAAAATGCAGTCTGTTCTTGCGCGTTGTCAGCATGGACTGTTTATTGCATGACAACGAGCACTGCAAAATTAATAACGATTCCTCAAGAGATTAGACTCAATTAAATGTTGTACCAAAAAAGCTGTCGATGTTCTTATTCTATAGATATGAGACTCTCATGTAAGAATTCCATTTGCGAATATTTCACCAACATATTAGGATAAGCTACTAGGTTTTTCCAGCAGAGAAATGGTTCTCGACGTTTCGCTATTACGGTGGGATCGTAAGTCAGTTATTGCAAATCCGAGGAACGCTGAAAATATCCTGAAGATTCCATCCACTCACGATGTCGAAACGTTGAGAACAATTTCTCAAACACGAAAACCGGAGTAGCACTGTAAAATGACCGGTAAAGTATTATATACTAGTATCAGAAAAGAGGTTGGTTTATACTAACCATTGTTTTATTTGTAACCTCAAATATCCATACAAATTTCTCTATCTTTGATTAATTGAATGATACTCAAATAACTTTACTTAAAACGATCTCTTGTCAATTCGTGTTACGTAACGTTATAATGGAATTTTTACTTGATTCCCACAAAAGGCAAATATGCACTTAAACACAAATTTACAACTTCTACACATAAGCGCTTAACAAAAAGCGCTAAAACTGATTTAGTTATCGAAATTATTGCTATGGAGTCTACGATTGGTGTGTAGCTTAATGTTAACTGTTAGTAGTAATGACTCCATCTTATTTTCAGAGTATGTTACATCCACTGGTGAGTTATTAGTACGAGCACCGTAGAACGTGACATCTCGGGGCACTGTTGGAATTTAATTCTTATTCTAAAAAATTTAGTTAATATTTGAATGCGCATGAGTAGATCGACCTCGAGGGATTCGATTGATTGCTTAATCGTTTCAGATTCCCTGCATGTCTTAAATTTAAGCGTCTTAAGTTAAGGATTTCCAAAGCTTCAGCTACGTTTTATTCCCATTTCGTTTCTGGACAGTTCTGCATGTAGCTGATTGCTATTGTATTCGAGGTATCGCCCTTATTCAACCTTCAATCATGCGACATCATATTGTAATTTCCCTCTCCATCGGAACGTTTAAATTCATTTTTTTCTCGTTCACTTTGTCAATTACGTTCACGTGTTAATATGAAATCGGATTTCGCAGTGTCCTATCAGAATTACGAGAACGACGAGGACACAGATGACCTGTCAATGTCAAAGCCCCCGACGAGAACTCACGAAAGGGACTTCGAAAAGCTAGTCCTAATAAACAGGACGCGACCGACGCCCTGCGACAGAGAAATGTTCTTATACCAAATGGACTATACGAACTTGGACGCCAAATTGAATAAACCGTTAAACGAATGCAATAGGCCTTTCTACGCCCAGCTTGTGAACTATACAAATATGCTGTTGGTCGTTGTGGATGCGATGTGCGCAAAGAAAGATGTATCAATATTATCTATAGACCCTAGCGAGGTCCAGTACAATGAATCGTTGCCATGCTTGAAACATAAGCATCCGTTATATAGGAAACAACCGGCTTCGTGTATTAGGAATCATACAGAGGTATTTTATTTATTCTAGTCTAGTAAGTTTTTTTTGTGACAACAAGGGCTGAATTATATCATCACTATTGAAAAAATTATTATTTTTATTGCATATGATGGCATTTAAAAAATCTATTGAAGTGATAAAATACTTAGAATAGATTGAAACACGGTAGCTTAATTAGTTAAAGCAGCGGTAAATGGCTGCTGGTAAGTCCTACTCGTGCCATTTTTTTTTTCAATTCAAATAGAAGAAAATATATTAGTCAAACTTAAATTATTTAAACAACGGCCCGACGTTTCGGATGCTTTAGTGTTATATTTAAATGTGAACTACTGGCGTATCCTACAGACAGTATAATAGACTTTGTTTAATTTGTTAATTTACTTTTCAACTTTATTTCTTATGCCTTTTTTGTTACCAGGAAAGCAATATTGACATGTGTGGAAGAGGGAGTTTGCTCAACAGGAATATTTTATGGCTACCTTTCACTATGCTTAGCCTTTTATGGATCAAAATAATATTTTAATCAACAGTGTAGTCCTATTCAGCTCATGAATTTATCATTTCCGTAGGCTATAAATTCTTAGACATGTCTGTTAACATATCAATGTTTTAAAATAATTTCTAGAAGATGTTTAAAATTTTTATTATACTCTCAATGTGCCACGTACATGGCAGGTTCATATCATTCAATAAATTATTAAGTGTTAAGTGTTATACAAACAGAATTATTTATCTTGTCGTTATTTATCAAAAATAGAGAAGTTATGTTATTTTATTCTCCCTATTCCGTCCTGGTTAATTCATTTTATTGCAAACTAGGATGGAAAGAGCTGTATTGAGATTTTTAACCATATTAATAATGTATTTTTCTGTTGATTCTTAGTTTAAGATAATTTTAATTCAATAAAGATTATACAAATAAATATTTATTGTAATAAAGTACTTTATTTGGGTTAAAATTTTATGTGTTTTATAATTTCTTACAAACCTTGCTACAGATTTGGGACATTGGTCAATAAATATTTTTGTGATGGAAGGATGAATTGTTAAAATTTATTTTAAATAAACTTAAAAATAGTCCTACTACACTTTGTTATCCTCACAGAAACATGAACAAAAATTTTGTTAGTAGCTTCACTAAATAACTAGATAATACATGGCTGTTGAGTAAATTAATTTTGTACTTTATTTTTACTAATAAAATCATTCACCTCGGCCATGAGTATTTGATATCTATGCTGTTTCAACAAAGACTCTTGAAGCTTCTCAAGCTGTTCTCCTCCATCCATGAATACCTTCAGACTTGGTACATTGATGCCACCCTCTCTATGCTCAGTCACTCTATCCTGAGGGTAATTGTATGTCCTAATTTTCTCATTGCGATTGCTTGAGCCAATCTGGAATTATTGTAAAAATATTTTATATAAGACCACCCTAACAAACTATGTGGCATATATATATGGCATAGTACATTTTTACAAGGTTCTAGGTTTGAATGTAAAGAAAACTTAACAAAAACTGAGGTTGCCAACCACAAAAATCAAATCACCCATTTACACAATATTAACAACAAACACAGAAATTGTGGAGCTCCATTACTTCTATGAGGGGATAGGACACACAAGATTATGCTAAACCAATTATTAAGGTCACATAACATATAACCCGTTTTTAAATTAGTTATTCCAAAACTTTATTAATCAAAATGTACTGTAATGTAACTAAAACCTAATATTGTCTTATAATATAGTGCATACCTGTGATTTTCTCTCATTATTGATTTTCGAAGACTGCTCTTCAATTTGCTTCTGAAGTAGTAATGCTCTTAGTTTTTCCATTGCAATTTCTCTATTTTTAATCTGTGATCTTCCTTCTTGACATTCTACAACTGTACCTGTGGGTGTGTGAGTAAGCCGAACGGCACTATCTGTGGTGTTAACATGCTGGCCACCAGCACCACTAGCCCTCTTTGTTTCTATAATTATATCCCTTTCTGGAATATTCAACTCTACCTCTGTTGCCTGCGGCAGAACAGCCACAGACACTGTACTAGTATGAATACGTCCACCCTTCTCTGTAACTGGTATCCTTTGCACTCTATGGACTCCAGCTTCCATCTTCATTAACTCTGAAGCACCCAATCCTTTAACTAACATTGATGCTTTCCTGACACCACCTATGTCAGACTCTTCAAAAGATGCAATATCAACTTCCCAGTCTTTATAATCTGCGTAAGCTTTGTACATTTCAAATAACTCCTTAGCAAATAACATAGCTTCTTGGCCTCCCGCACCAGCTGTCACTTCTAATACAACTCCACCATTGGTCAAACAGGGCTCTAAGAGAATTGATTTTAAATCATCGTCGACTTCGGTGAGCCGTGCAAGGTATATCTGTGCTTCTTCCTTTATCATCTTCTTTATTTCCTCGTCGTTGTCGTCCTTTTTGTTCAGTTCCTTTAGTGATTCTATGCTATCGTAAAGTGCTATCCGTTGTTCTAATACACTGACTATAGGTTTGATCTCGTGTAAGCGCCTAGTTTCTTCAAACGATTTTCGCTGTTTTGTATGAAGAGTATCGTATTCAATCATTAAATGTTTTAGGTAAGTTTGAACGGCTGGGTCTGTGACTTTTAACACAGTTTGTGAGTAAAGCTTGTGTAAAAAGCTCTCTCGATAAAATATAGACCCGAGGCGAGATAGTTTTGAACGTAACATTTTTGGTTCTAATGCCCTTCGTTAACTGAAAACAAATCATATAAGCTTTGAGTATAGAGAATACTATGTGAAAAAAATCATATAGTTTTTTTTACCTAATGCGAAATATTGTACGACTTAACAATTTTTATTGTAACTTTTTCTATTCAGCATGTTAACCAAAACAATGTGATATAAATTGTGAACAATTATTATCTCCTATCAGATGATTTCAAATGTCAAAATGACATTGACAGTTTATGTTATGTCAACTGTCATAGACACTACGGTTTTTAGAAGGAGTTTTCATGGTAACATATTTTTCAATTAAATTAGTTATTATTATTTAAATATATTATACATCATTATATTAAATATATTTATTTATTATATTGCTTGTATGTTTGTAATCTATTTCAGTTTTTGTCATTATGCAAATGCGTTAATATAGTTTAAGTTTACATAGTTCCTCTGAGATGGCGTTGTTAACAAGATACTCCGTGCAATGGTTCTTATTGTTGACAATGACATCTTTTTAAATATTACGTGCGATTTAAAATAAATAATAATAGTTAATATTTTAATTATTAGTAAAATGTACAAAAGAAAAAAGTTAACAATAAAATGTAACTAGTATATTTTTAACCTTAAAATGATAAAAGAGTCATCTTGTATCAAGTAGGAAAGTAGTAAAAAAGTTGATAAAGACGATACGCTTTGTGTTCTATTATAGACATCTAATAATAAATAATCATTTTTTTATTATACTTATTCCTATATTCTATGTCCTAAAGTACATCATATCAGCAATGCTTCATTTATTCTCTGTTAAATACTCGAGTTTGTGTAAAATATTATATTTGTATTGTTTGTAGGTATTTTATTTCTCGACACATTCTCGTTACGGGTTTAAAGTTTTTTGTGTTCGTTATACAGCCTGTTATAATGATACCAACTACCATTATTATTAATAAGCTGACCTTTGTCCGATAAAAAGCATCTGGTAATCCTTTTTTTCCTCTTCGGATCTGAAAGTAAGCAAATTTTAATATTCAATCAGTTGAGGTTTTTATTCGACTGCGCAACTAAATAAATAAATAATGATTCTTTATTATTATAGGTACTATGTGAAGAACATAGTATAGTAATAAATTTGACACACTTGTCTGTCTCTTAATTTTAAGCTACTCCTAAACATTTGGCCGTTCTTGGTTTATTAAATGTGTAACTTAGTACTGGTATATACATATATAACACAACATCGCTAGTCTTATATACTTAAACAACCTGCGTGCTCTTAATAATAATTACAATTAAACCGCAATTTTCAATGCGATAGCACTTTGAACGACTCCCGACGATTACCACATAGACCACAACGATTTGCCAATTGATAGAATTATTAGAACGCCACAAAGAAAACTTCCCTTTACGACCGCAAGGTCGTTCTGCGCTATTCTATATTGTTGTTACGCATATGGAGTTATTAGTGTTAATGACAAACGGTCAGACGGCCAGCTATTGTTGCTTTTACCGCACCGTTTCCTTCTGGTTACATTATACTGTGGAGCAAAAAATACGATACAGTTATTTATGAGTTTGCTTCTATTCTATACTAATATATAAAGCTGAAGAGTTTATTTGTTTGGTTAGAACATTTATTGAGAAAAGCAATAGGCTATAAAACATATCACAGTGAGTAATGGAAGTGAAGATACAGCGGAAAATATAAAAAAAACGGGGAAAATTATTCATCAGTGTGGGCTTCCATTGCTTACGCTGCGCAAAGGGTTCAAGATACCTAAAGAATATGTATGAAAGAATGATTCCTGTTTAAATCTATCTCGTCGTTCTTGCGAGTCTATCTCTTAAGATAAACTCGCAAGAACGACGGGAACCAAACGACAGCACGCCACCGATGGCGTAGGCGTAGTTTGCAGTAAAGTGCAAAAACAATTTTGGATTCCCAAAATAACATTTTTACGCTGACGAAGGCGCTGACTCAGCTAGTATATTATGAGCTTAAGAGTGTTTGTTTGTTTGAACGCGCTAATCTCACGAACTACTGGTTGGATTTGAAATGTTCTTGTTGTGTTGGTTAGAGCAAATATCGAGGAAGGCTTTAGAGTAGGTATAAAGCAGAACAATGTGACCAAGAAACAGTGGGAAATGAGAAAATATGGGGAAAATTATTATATCTCTGAGAGTTTCCGTTGCGTGCGTTATCAAAACGGTTCTAGATAAACAAAAAATATATAAGAGAGAATTATTCCTCTTTGAATGTTTTTTTTTTTTTTTTTTTTGGTTTTTTTTTTTTTTTTTTTTTTTTTTTTTTTTTTTTTTTTTTTTTTATTTTTTTTTTTTAGAGAAATTTTTTTTTTGTTTTGGTAATCTAAAAAAATCTTTTAAGAATAGGAGAAAAAAAGCAAAATCGTCGGAGCACATGCATTAAGAACAAGAGCTGGAATTCGCGATGGACGTCGTGGGTAAAAACTAAAAACTCCAAAAAAAAGAAAAAAAAAAAAAAAAACCCCCAAAAAATTTTTTTTTAAATTAAAGAATCCAGGGGCTTTTTAATAAAAAAAATTTAAAATTAAAAAACCTGAACCAAATAATTTCTCCCCCTGCGAAGCCCGGACAGGGCCGCTGGTATTTTAAAAAGTTGATTGGAGGTTTGCAAAATCTAATTTTGGCGGCCAAAATAACTTTTCTACGCGGACGAAGTCGCTGAGCGACTATTATGTATCAACATATAAACCTTTCAACGATATTAAACTATATGTTTCATTGATTGCAAAAATGGCTACGAACAATTAATACAATCTGTGTACCAAAAGCTTCTTCTAACCCAATCACATTTAGTGTTTCATCTACATAACTTCAGCTATTTATAAACAATAATTACTATGAACTTACAATTTGAGGCCAAATGCGTGTTCAACGATTATTATTACAAAGGTTCTTTCCGAATTATTACACAGTAGGCAATATTAGAAGTACCCAACCATAGCACTTATTTTTCGTCCTAAAAATAACGGTTTTTCTTTATTTAGATCATATCTACCTATGTATGTGCGATGAAATTGTAATAGATTCTGAGAGCATTCTTTACATTAGGTCATTTAAATATGTTACGGTCTGATTACTGTTTTGACCATGGCTGCTGCAAAGTATACAAAACATCGGGCTGAAGTGAAAAATCAAATGTAAATAAGTATATATCGCGTTGCAGCCGTTAGAAGTGTATGTTCTACTACTCGCGTAAATTACAGCCAATATTCAATAGGTTAGTTTAATGTGTTTTTTTTTTAAAGTTTATTTTAACTCAATAACGTGTGTAAATGTGTATGTTATAAGAATAGTCTAGAATCTAGATACTGTAATCTTCCGAAAACTTTACTTAATTCGGTGAACAAACAATATCATAACATCAAATTAATTAGGTACCTAAGTGCGTAACATAGACCACATTTTTTTATTATCGGCGTACTCTCGCATTTATGTGCTAAAACAATTATGTTTTTAAATTGTTTGATACTTCAGCTACCTATGGGTACATTTTTATGCGCTAGAGTCAAATTATCGTGCTTTTTTAAATAAAACATTTTAACGGTTTAAAACTCGGTATATATTAGTTAAAACGTAAGAGTGTTTCATTTATATGTCTATTCGCGTGAACTACAGACAGTGTTTAATTATCATTCTTCTTGGTCGCGTCAACGGGTGAAAGTAATAAAAATTCGAAAATGCCTGTATTTTGAAATATGTCAATGATAGCATGTAGCTAACAAATGCATAACTGACAGTAGCTATTCAGTTGCTAACCTTTAACATAAGACTATTATTGGACGACCATTTCGTGTCAGGAATCATTCCACCTGCCTCAAGCTACTATTGATCGATATAATTGTATTATTTACAAGAACGTGCGATATTAGACACACTGCCGATCATATCGTACCGTATATAGTAGTAGCCAGTAATACTAAGTATCGTACTAAGTATGTATAGTACCTTGTACCAAGATCGGTTTTAACGAAATATTTTTTATAAAGATTATTTTCTCATTTGTCCGCGATTTAACTAGATAAGAAACTCGGTAGTCAATTGGTAGAGCAACAGCACGGAACGCTGACGATGCCGGTTCAAATCCAGCCCGAGTCAAAAAAAAATTCAATTTATTTTCGATTTTTAAATTATATAGATAAGAAATAGTGATGAGATCCAAAGTGGGCTAGATGATTTAACGAAACCCACGTTTTGAATAATATATGTAATTAAATACTGTCAGTAGTTTACGCGAGTAGTACACATTTACATAAAACACTTTAACGGTCTAAAACTCGATATATATTAGTTAAGCTTGTTTGTATTAGTTAAAATTATTTACTACTACGGCCCGACGTTTCGGACGCTTTGCAGCAGTCGTGGTCACGCGGAGACGTTTTTCCCTGCCCACGGCGGCTGGGGGGTCAGGGGGGGAAACGTCAGCAGCCGGCGATCGAACAAGTTTAACTAATATATATAGCGTTTTATACTAAATGTTTTATTTAAATATAGGTAAGGTTAAGAAGAAGAAGAATAAAATCAAATTTCTGTACATGGATGGTGGGGTATGGTATGGACTCTTTTTCTAGGCATATAATATTTTAAAGATTGGTCAACAAACCAAGAAATAACTATTATACATATTTTATATTTAATTGTATTGTCATTAGTTTTTAGCTGGGCATTTTATTATAAGCTGTATAATTTTACAAATCCAAAGTGCCCTAAACCTTCCTATTAGTATGAGTAATAAAAGAAAGGATTTGGGCTTTAAGTGCAAATACCTTCCGTTACTTTTTTTACGTTATAGACTTATATATAGTACTGTATAGGATTCATTTGGTACAAGGTAAAATATTCTAGCCATAAAACATCTACTCAACCTATTATTAAATTAAATTTACTATTTTCATCTGTAAACCTAGGTTCGTAGTCCGGACGAATCTATATTCCTACCACTCATTCGCTCGTGA